TGTGTGTCACAGCCTCGCACCCTCTCACACCCACACACAGACATTGTGTGTCACAGCCTCGCACACTCTCACACCCACACACGGACATTGTGTGTCACAGCCTCGCACACTCTCACATCCACACACAGACATTGTGTGTCACAGCCTCGCACCCTCTCACACCCACACACAGACATTGTGTGTCACAGCCTCGCACACTCTCACATCCACACACAGACATAGTGTGTCACAGCCTCGCACACTCTCACACCCACACACACAGACATTGTGTGTCACAGCCTCGCACCCTCTCACACCCACACACAGACATTGTGTGTCACAGCCTCGCACACTCTCACACCCACACACGGACATTGTGTGTCACAGCCTCGCACACTCTCACATCCACACACAGACATTGTGTGTCACAGCCTCGCACACTCTCACACCCACACACAGACATTGTGTGTCACAGCCTCGCACACTCTCACACCCACACACAAACATTGTGTGTCACAGCCTCGCACACTCTCACACCCACACACAGACATTGTGTGTTACAGCCTCGCACACTCTCACACCCACACACACAGACATTGTGTGTCACAGCCTCGCACCCTCTCACACCCACACACAGACATTGTGTGTCACAGCCTCGCACACTCTCACACCCACACACGGACATTGTGTGTCACAGCCTCTCACACTCACATCCACACACAGACATTGTGTGTCACAGCCTCGCACCCTCTCACACCCACACACAGACATTGTGTGTCACAGCCTCGCACACTCTCACATCCACACACAGACATTGTGTGTCACAGCCTCGCACACTCTCACACCCACACACACAGACATTGTGTGTCACAGCCTCGCACCCTCTCACACCCACACACAGACATTGTGTGTCACAGCCTCGCACACTCTCACACCCACACACGGACATTGTGTGTCACAGCCTCGCACACTCTCACATCCACACACAGACATTGTGTGTCACAGCCTCGCACACTCTCACACCCACACACAGACATTGTGTGTCACAGCCTCGCACACTCTCACACCCACACACAAACATTGTGTGTCACAGTCTCGCACACACTCACACCCACACAGACATTGTGTGTCACAGCCTCGCACACTCTCACATTCACACACAGACATTGTGGGTCACAGCCTCGCACACTCTCACACCCACACACAGACATTGTGTGTCACAGCCTCGCACACTCTCACACCCACACACAAACATTGTGTGTCACAGCCTCGCACACTCTCACACCCACACACAGACATTGTGTGTTACAGCCTCGCACACACTCACACCCACACACACAGACATTGTGTGTCACAGCCTCGCACACTCTCACACACACAGACATTGTGTGTCACAGCCTCGCACACTCTCACACCCACACACAGGCATTGTGTGTCACAGCCTCGCACACACTCACACCCACACAGACATTGTGTGTCACAGCCTCGCACACTCTCACATCCACACACAGACATTGTGTGTCACAGCCTCGCACACTCTCACACCCACACAAAAAAACATTGTGTGTCACAGCCTCGCACACCCTCACACCCACACACACAGACATTGTGTGTCACAGCCTCGCACACTCTCACACCCACACACAGGCATTGTGTGTCACAGCCTCGCACACACTCACACCCACACACACAGACATTGTGTGTCACAGCCTCGCACACTCTCACACCCACACACAGACATTGTGTGTCACAGCCTCGCAAACTCTCACACCCACACACAGACATTGTGTGTCACAGCCTCGCACACTCTCACACCCACACACAGACATTGTGTGTCACAGCCTCGCACCCTCTCACACCCACACACAGACATTGTGTGTCACAGCCTCGCACACTCTCACACCCACACACACAGACATTGTGTGTCACAGCCTCGCACACTCTCACACCCACACACAGGCATTGTGTGTCACAGCCTCACACACACAGACATTGTGTGTCACAGCCTCACACACTCTCACATCCACACACAGACATTGTGTGTCACAGCCTCGCACACTCTCACACCCACACACAAACATTGTGTGTCACAGCCTCGCACACTCTCACACCCACACACAGACATTGTGTGTTACAGCCTCGCACACACTCACACCCACACACACAGACATTGTGTGTCACAGCCTCGCACACTCTCACACACACAGACATTGTGTGTCACAGCCTCGCACACTCTCACACCCACACACAGGCATTGTGTGTCACAGTCTCGCACACACTCACACCCACACAGACATTGTGTGTCACAGCCTCGCACACTCTCACATCCACACACAGACATTGTGGGTCACAGCCTCGCACACTCTCACACCCACACACAGACATTGTGTGTCACAGCCTCGCACACTCTCACACCCACACACAAACATTGTGTGTCACAGTCTCGCACACTCTCACACCCACACACAGACATTGTGTGTTACAGCCTCGCACACACTCACACCCACACACACAGACATTGTGTGTCACAGCCTCGCACACTCTCACACACACAGACATTGTGTGTCACAGCCTCGCACACTCTCACACCCACACACAGGCATTGTGTGTCACAGCCTCGCACACACTCACACCCACACAGACATTGTGTGTCACAGCCTCGCACACTCTCACATCCACACACAGACATTGTGTGTCACAGCCTCGCACACTCTTACACCCACACAAAAACATTGTGTGTCACAGCCTCGCACACTCTCACACCCACACACACAGACATTGTGTGTCACAGCCTCGCACACTCTCACACCCACACACAGGCATTGTGTGTCACAGCCTCGCACACACTCACACCCACACACACAGACATTGTGTGTCACAGCCTCTCACACTCTCACACCCCCACACAGACATTGTGTGTCACAGCCTCGCAAACTCTCACACCCACACACAGACATTGTGTGTCACAGCCTCGCACACTCTCACACCCACACACAGACATTGTGTGTCACAGCCTCGCACCCTCTCACACACACACACAGACATTGTGTGTCACAGCCTCGCACACTCTCACACCCACACACACAGACATTGTGTGTCACAGCCTCGCACACTCTCACACCCGCACACAGGCATTGTGTGTCACAGCCTCGCACACTCTCACACCCACACACAGACATTGTGTGTCACAGCCTCGCACACTCTCACACCCACACACAGACATTGTGTGTCACAGCCTCGCACCCTCTCACACCCACACACAGACATTGTGTGTCACAGCCTCGCACACTCTCACACCCACACACAGACATTGTGTGTCACAGCCTCACACACTCTCACATCCACACACAGACATTGTGTGTCACAGCCTCACACACTCACACCCACACACATACATTGTGTGTCACAGCCTCACACACTCACACCCACACACAGACATTGTGTGTCACAGCCTCGCACACTCTCACACACAGCCATTGTGTGTCACAGCCTCGCACACTCTCACACCCACACACACAGACATTGTGTGTCACAGCCTCGCACACCCTCACACCCACACACAGCCATTGTGTGTCACAGCCTTGCACACTCTCACATCCACACACAGACATTGTGTGTCACAGCCTCGCACACCCTCACACCCACACACAGACATTGTGTGTCACAGCCTTGCACACTTTCACATCCACACACACAGACATTGTGTGTCACAGCCTCGCACACTCTCACACCCACACACAGACATTGTGTGTCACAGCCTCGCACACTCTCACATCCACACACAGACATTGTGTGTCACAGCCTCGCACACTCTCACATCCACACACAGACATTGTGTGTCACAGCCTCGCACACTCTCACACCCACACACACAGATATTGTGTGTCACTCCGCTGCTGGATGGGCGCCTCCCCACGCCGTGCGCGTCCTAGGGGGTTATTTGACCATACTTCACTGCTCTCGTCGGTGCGCATTGGCGATGGTGTGGATCGTGAACGTAGAAGCGTGGAGGTGCAGTACAACAATGGTTCACGCTGCACTGCCCTCTGCTGGTGTGCTGTGTAAACATTCGGCACGAGGGAGACAAAGGTGACCGGGCGTGGTGCTGGCCACCCACTCCCTCGTGTGCCGTGCCGTCCTTCCTAGGTGCTGCTGCTCGCTAACAGCACTTGCCCCAGTACCCAGCAGTAGGGTTTAGAAGAATATTTAAACTGTTAAACTAATTTTATTTCAGGAGGTAGAGCCCACTGATCCATGTCGCTCTCTTTCAGAGTCTGCGTCTCTCTCCCCGTGGTAGCGTGGATTTTTGTCTGGCTACTAGCGTTTTTCCCTCTACGTTTAGAATCAATTTGCATTCAGAGGATTTGGTTGCTGCTGTAAATATCCACGTGATGAGCCACTTCGTAGAGCTGTCATTTGTGATAGTCAGGTCGCTTCCGAAAACAGAGCGACAAGGTTCAGTGGTTTCCTTACCTGGTGAAATAAAATGTTGTTGAAGGTGGGGAGCACAGAAGTGCAGTGCAACAGAGCGGGACACGCGGGTGCAAGACTGAGGAACTCACAAGCGAAAGGCAGGAATCTGTTCACGACCATTTCAAGGGAGCGGATCGTGGTGGCGTCCAGTGAAGTGGGAGGTGGGGGTGCAGATTCCTTTGAGATCTCTCTCCTGGGACAACCACCAACAGCATCACACACAACCTCGTTTAACCACAGCATTGGAATACTCAGCAGCCATAGCCCACACAGCAATGTTCTAACACGCAGCCCTTGTCTCACACACAGCCCGTGTCTCACACACAGCCTGCATGTCTAAAACACACAAACACACCCTGTCTAAAACACAAAGCCCGTGTGTCTAACACAGACAGCCCGTGTGTCTAACAGACAGCCCGTGTCTCACACACAGCCTGTGTTTCACACACACCCTGTCTCACACACACCCTGCGTCTCACACACAGACCGTGTGTCTAACACACAGCCCGTGTGTCTAACACACACAGCCCGTGTGTCCAACACAGACAGCCCGTGTGTCTAACACACACATCCTGTGTTGTGAGTGTTTAATCGTGAGGCATTGAGGATCTGTACCTGCGCGTCTCCTCCAGGTGCCCCTGTGGAAGAGAGAGAGATCATGAGTGACGTCTCTAACCTTGCACCACGAGTCCCTCTGCCACTGCCCGCTCTGTTGTTCTGGACACCCAAACGGCGTCTCCACAGAGGCGCTCCCCACCTGCAGGAAGGCGAGCGAGTCCCTCTCGTGCTGCAGGTTGCTCAGGCGAGCGGCCGCTGCCTGGAGCTCCCCGATCTCCTGCTTGTGACGAGCGATGTCCTCGTCGATCCGGGACAGCAGCTCGCGCTCCTTCACAGCCACGCGTTGGAGAACCTCCCTCTCGTCCTCGTCCAGAGCCTTCTTTAGGCGGGCGAACTTGCCCGTGATGCGACCCCTGATCCCGGCCACCGATTCCTGCGGAGACGAGAGGACCACTTTCGGCCCCCTGAGCCATGAGCCACTCCGTGTGTGCGTGTGGACGCCGTGGTGGCAAGGAGATGTTGACTCCCTCGCCTGGTATACAGCAGGTCGGGGTTCGATCCTGATACTTGTATATTTGGAGTTTGGTCTATCTGTAGTCATATGGATTTTTCTCCGGGTCCCCCTGTTTTTGCCTCCACATTTATTGTCAATGTCGCGCGTTTAGAGTATTTGGCTGCTATCAAAATCCACGTTACAATCAACCGCTTTGTTGAGCTATAATTTATAGTAGCCAGGTCGCTTCTGAAAAAAAGAACTACGTAGCTCAGTGGAGCCGTTCCTGGTAAAATAAAAATTAGTTTAGTCTATGGGTTTCTACGGGTCTCTATGCCTCTCTCGGGGTATCTCTATATGTCGCTGTTTATCTGTGTGTCTCTATGGTGTCTAGGTATCTCTATGGGGCTGGTATGTATATGGGTGTCTATGGATCGATATGGGTCTCTATGTATATTTTGCTGCTACTATATATTTCCACATGATAATGGTGATATCAGCAATTTCGTTGATCTGTAATTTGTGATATGCAGGTTGCTTCTGAAAAAGAGCTACACAGCTCAGTGGGCTTTACCTGGTAAAATAATAAAATAATATTCCCTAGTAGTGAATCATGCCCCAGTGACGAGGCGCCCATGGGACTGAGTCGATCCATTCCAAGGGGGCAAGAGGGGTGCTACTATTTTCTTGTTTCTCCCCTAGAGGGCGCTGGGGTCGTGGATGTTGAGACTCAGGTACTCGGAGTCCGGTGGGAACCCCCTCGTGGGTTCGACGAGATGTGGCGAGATGTTAACTACCTCGCCTGGTGTGCAGGGAGTCGTGGGTTCGATCACGACGATAATTCCTTCTGCATATTTGGAGTCTGCGTCTTTCTCCCTGTGGTCGCGTGGATTTTTCTCCGAGTTCTGTGGCTTTTCCCTCCAAATTAAGAATCGGAGTAATCCAGGCCAGGTTTTCCCATAAGTCCGACTCGAGTTTATAATGCAAGGCATTTGTTATCTGTTGTGCACAACCCACAGTGCCCAAGACAGCATCTCCGGGTTCAAGCAAGCGTTTAGAGTACAGTATTTAGAGTATTTGGCTGCTATCAATTTCAACTGATAAGCCATTTCATTGAGCTATCATTTGTGATATTCAGGTTCCATCTGCAAAAGAGCTACATGGCACAGTGGGGCTTTAGCTGATGATGATTGCTTGTGCTGTGATCGAAACGTCGTGATTTGTTTATTATTTTTCAATGGTTTTACTTAACATAACTCTGATGTTTGTCTAGGTCAAATCTTGTAATCAATATTTTATCTACTTCCTGTTGTGCAATCAATTCCAAATTTCCCACACGTACTCAGATCCGGTGACAATGCATGCCTGCATCAATTAATCAATTAATTGGCTCTTTTAAAGCAATAAACATTTTGTATGGACGGCTTATTAATTTAATATCAATTTGTGCAGGTCAAAAACGCCGTGGTCCTTAAACTCTGGAATCGCCTCGCCCAAGAATCAGGCGCCACATGTCTCTTGTTATCAAGTTATCGTCCACTTACCGTTGTTCAATCGAGTTATTTACTTTTTAGTGCATTTTCTTAATAAAAACGTTGTATTTCAAAAACATTTTAAAATGAGTTTATTACTCACTTTTTTGTATTTTATTGTTATTAAAAATATACATTATCTACGTGACTTTACCGAAAGACCCAAATGATATGAATTCCTTCAGTCATGAAAGCTTTATGTCAAGAAAATTGAAATAGTTTAGTCTATGGGTCTCCATGTATCTCTATGTGTACCTATGTATCACTATTTGTCCCAAAGTATCTCTATGTGTCTCTATGTGTCTCTATGGGTCTCTATGGGTCTCTATGCATCTCTATGTGTCCCTATGTATCACTATTTGTCCCAAAGTATCTCTATGGGTCTCTATATATCTCTATGGGTCTCCATGTATCTCTATATGTCCCTATATATCACTATTTATCTCAATGTATCTCTATGGGTCTCTATGTATCTCTTTGGGTCTCTATGTATCTCTATGGGTCTCTATGTATCTCTATGGGTCTGCTGCTATATTTCACGTGATGATGATGATGATGCGAGCCACTTTGCTGAGCTGCTATTGTTTGTGACAGCCAGGGTCACTTCTGAAAAAATCTACACAGCTCAGTGGGGCCTTACCTGGTAAAATAAAAATAGTTGTAGTTTCAATAAACTCAGGGGATGTGATTAGGGATGGCGTGAGGTGCAGCTGAGCGGTGTTCGTGCTTCTGCTTCCGTGCCGGTGCACTACTTCCAGTGCAGCACAACAGCTGCACCACAGCTCCACCCCGACAATCCGTGACAATCTCAACATTTTTTTGCCACAGGAGTTGAAGACGCCATGCCGAGTAACCCGACGTCGCGGCAGACTCGCCGATGCGGTTATCGAATGCCGTAAACGTGCAACCCCCTCGTAGTTAATGTTGAGTTTGTAAGTCAAATATAGTTATAGTAAGACGCATCACAGTTATGAAGCTGCACGAAGTTCGCTTGAATTAATTTTTACCTCCACGATTTCCACACTGGGTGGAGGTCACGGGGGTCAAAGAGCCCGGCCCGGACACGGTACCTGCGCCTCCTTGCGAGCGGCCTCCATCCGCTTCACGGACTCTTCCGCCTCCTTCCTCTTCTCCTCCACCGCTCGCGTCTCTTCCCCTACGCGCGTCTGTAGAGAGAGACGAGACGTCACCAGAGGGAGACTCCAGCCCCCTGAGCCACCCCTCACACCGCCCTTCCCTCCACACCGACCCCTCTACAGCAAAGGCCCTCATCTCCACGCTGCCTCTCTATAGCGACTGAAACGGGGGCATAGGGAGTGGGCAAGCTGATGCCTCGTTGCAGCAGTAGTCGATGGGAGCCGTGCTGGCTTGGTGGCCCTACCGACTCGGACCCAAGAGCCCATGTGCCCACAGCTGTCTCGTTTAGAAGATCAATTTAATATTATTGTTTATCAGGTGGCTGTGATATTAGTCTCACATCTCTGTCCACTTAATTTCTTTATATGGCAATTATGTTTGATGAAAGCCTAGGATTTAATACATCTTGAGGCTCTTTCCTGAAATGCAAACCAGAAAATTACCTACACAGGCAGAGAGACAGAGGTTCAAGAGAGCATGAACACACGATAGTTTTTTTTTAATTATCAGATGTTGTGTAGCCGAGTGACAGAATTGATCAGATAATGTTATGGTGTCTCACTCTGAGGGCCTCACCTTCCGTGTCTCGTGCTCGTCCTTCAGCATGGTGACATCATGTCCTTTGTGTTCTCCTGCGATGGTACAAGATGAGCAAACCAGGCTTCTATCTACTGTGCAGTAGAATTCCAGCTCCCGTTTGTGATTACAGCATCTTCTCTCGTCCAAGCTCGCAGTGGGATCCACCACGGCGTGGTCTCTCAACCTGGGATTCTCCACGTGAGGCCTAAAGTGAGAAAAACAGTAGGACATCTCACATCTCAAGCAGGTCTTCACTGCAGGAGTGTGGCCGTCACCGCAGATGTCACACATGACGACCGCGGCCATCCCATCTCCAACTCTGAGCTGCTCCACCAGGTTGACGAGGGCCACGTTCCTCCTCAGCTGGGGTCGCACAGGGAAGGTCGCTCGGCACTGCGGGCAGCTGAAGCTGCTCGCCGTCTCCCAGGTGGCATCCAGGCACTGCAGGCAGAACGAGTGTCCGCAGCTCAGCGTGGAGGGGCAGACGAACGTGCCCAGGCAGATGGAGCAGCGCAGCTCACTATCCACACTCTCACTGGGAGTCGCGTACGCCATGACTCATGAGCTTCGTTGGGATCGCTTGCTGTGTGGATGAGAGAGACGCTGGACCAGGACCTCTCTCTTATAGCGACGGTGAAGAAGGAAGTAAAATACTAAAATATTTTCATTGTCGTTACTGACATCACGAGACACTGCTTGGAATGTCAACCCGTGTCCTTGGTGCGCAAACAGCAGCTTCAATGTTAACATTGTTACAGTACACACCTTGACACGAACAAAATGTATCAAAGGAATGTAATATTTTAACAAATATATTAATTTAAAGAAATGAGTTGTTGATGTTGTTAATATAAAATCCGTGAGCCTCAGCTACGGTGGCTCATTCATGAGATGAGTATCGAGAGATAAACTTATCCTTCCATAGCTCAGCGCAGAAGTTGGTGTTGCTGGTAAGACAGAGCAATGGATTGGGTGCCACCGTGGTTATATGTTATTTCGCTCGCCTTACGGCTGTTTTATATTTAAAGTTTGCGTCTTTCTCTCTTTCCCCTTGTTCTCGGGAATTTGTAGCTGGATCCTCCGGTTTACCCTCCACATTTAGAATCAACATCACGCATTCAGAGTATTTGGCTGCAATCAATTTTCACATAAGCCACATCATTGCGCTCTCATTTGTAAAAGCCACTTCGCTTCTGACAGAGCCACATAGCACAGTGAGCCTTACCTTTTAAAATTAAGAGTTTGTGTAGTTGTTGATATCTCATGATGTCCTCTAGTTCCATTTCAGTGTAATTACCCCAACGTGACGAATTGCTTTAATGTTATTGTGGCATCCCATATGGAATTTGTCTGTAGACTCCCGTGACCCATCCTGGAATCTTGAATTTTTTGCTAGCAGTGTGAATATATCACCAACTCTACCTGCCTCCATCACCCACTGCTGGCGATGTCACCATCTCTCACTCTCACCTTGTCCGAGATTGGAGATTCCCATTCCGACTATTCACAGCCACAGCCACCACCTATTTCACTTGCGTTGTTGTTTCATATTCGCAGGTACGGCTATTGCACATGCGTCCTCCATCCGTCTTTCTACACCCCCCTCACTAAGTGGTCCGGGCTTTGCTCATCACACCACGATGCCCCTCCAGCGTGTTGAGGCACAGCGTGGTGCGATGTACAAACATCTTGGCAGCTAGACAAAGCCTGATGGCTGCTCTTAAAGGTTTATCAGAAGAACCAGAAGTTAAATTCCCTAAGTCGAGCCCATTGAGCTAGCACGTAAATTTTCAAGGGGGTTTTAACTGGCAGACATCATCAAAGCATTCCACAAGTACACAAAAACAAAGATTTCCTGTATAACCTTATCAGATTGTTGTGGCAAGTGCTGTTAGCGAGCACCTACGAAGGTCGGCACTTCACACAAAGGGGTGGGGTGCCCAGCACCACGCCCGGCCACCTTTGTCTCTCGAGTTTTTACGCACCACACCAGGTAATAATTTGAGGCTGAGTTGACCTAGGGGAGGCCCAGCATCAGTTCAGATAATCGTTATTGGTGTTGGCCGTGAGCGGGAATCGAACCCGGGTATCCAGGTTCATAGAACAGCGCTGGAACGACCACAATTACACACCCACTCACACACACACTCTCCCACGCACTAATACACCCACACACTCATCCACCCTCCCACTCACCTACTCTCACACACACTTCAGAATTAGAAGAATTAGAAGTTTACTTCCCTGACGAGAGCCCACTAGGACCCTGCAGATGTGATCAAGTTTGTCTTTGGTGGCTTGGCCCTCCCCAACTCTCTGTCCAGCACGAAAGACCCGGGCAACTAAAATAACAATGTAAATATGAGACGTGTATTTATACGTACGTGTTGAACTTCTTTCACATGGAACGTAGCCAACCGTACTAATCGGAGGTTTATAAAAATACAAACTAAACAGAACAAGTAGCAGTTCTACAGAAATTAATTTGTCAATTTTCATTATTTCAAAGTGCAAAGCTCTGGTAGCTTACTGACTGAACCGGATCAGTCTTGCACTCAGGTGGCAGCGGGTGGGATGCGTTGTGCATGACTTGTACGAGTGGCAGAACTGGCGAGACCTGTATTTCTGTATGGGGGTGGTTTTGTTGCAATCAAGTTGATGGATTGCATTTTGAAGGCATTTCTTTCAATCTCCATGATGCTCATTCTTGGTTTTTTTTGCCATACTTCAATCGGCACCCTGGACACCCTCTCCTGTGCTCTATATATCGGGTCTTGAAAATTTTATAAAAAAAAAAAATGGAAATTGAGAAATTTGTAATTTTCCGAAACTATGCAAATTAATGTAATAATGCAAAAATGTATGATATTCATGGAGGTGTAATTGTATTAAGTTATGCAAGTGTATGCGATTATGCTAATGTATGTAATTATGCTCATTACGCTCTGCCTCGTTGTCCAGGGTTGTATTATCAATCGGGATAATACAATGATTCTCGCTTTAACTTTTACTGATTATCAGAATCAGAATCAGAAAGGGTTTTATTCGCCATGAAAGTTCACACAGACACGGAATTTACTTTGGCAGGATGGTGCATACATTAAACATATAAGAATCTAAAATCTTAAATAAGGGGTAAACAAGTCTTACTATAATAAGGGTTCAAAGTATAACTAACACCAAGGGGCTAAAGTATATAAAATTGAATAAATATCGAATATAAAATAGCTATAACATACAATATAAAAATTAAAAATACAAAGAGGGTAACATAGTTAATATTGGCAAGGTGTCATTTTGTGGATAAAATGTTAAAGTCAGTGTAAGCACTTGGCCTTGTTTAACAGGCCAGCAGCAGATGGGAAGAAACTGTCTTTATGGCGTGAGGTTTTGGTCCTGATGGACCGCAGCCTTCTGCCGGAGGGGAGTTGCTGAAACAGAGAGTGTCCAGGGTCGGATGAATCTGCCACAATCTTCCTCGCTCGCCTCATGGTCCTCGTGGTGTGCAGGTCCTCGAGGGTTGGTTGATTGCAGGCAATCACCTTCTCAGCAGTGTGGGTGATACGCTGCAGTCTGCTCTTGTCCTTGGCAGTGGCAGCAGCGTACCAGACGGTTATGGAGGAGGTGAGGATGGATTCAATGATTGCTGTATAGAATTGCACCATCATTGTCTTTGGCAGGTTGAATTTCTTCAGCTGCCATAGGAAGTACATTCTCTGTTGTGCTCTCTTGGTGAGGGAGCTGATGTTCAGTTCCCACTTGAGGTCCCGGGAGAAAATAGTGCCCAGGAAGCGGAAGGACTCTACAATTTTGACTGGGGAGTCGCACAGGGTGATCGGGGTGAGTGGGGCTGTATGTTTCCTGAAGTCCACAACCATCTCAACTGTCTTTAGAGCATTTAGCTCAAAGTTGTTCCGGCTACACCAGGTCACCAAGTTGTCAGCTTCACACCTATAGTCAGACTCATCCCCACCAGAGATCAGCCCAATGAGGGTGGTGTCGTCCGCAAACTTCAAGAGTTTGACGGACAGATGATTGGAGGTGCAGCTGTTGGTATACAGGGAGAAGAGCAGTGGGGAAAGGACGCAGCCCTGAGGCGTTCCGGTGCTGATGGATCTGGAGTCAGAGACTTGTGTTCCCAGCTTAACGCACTGCTTCCTGTCAGACAGGAAGTCTGTGATTCACCTGCAGGTAGAGTCGGGCACGTTCAGCTGGAAGAGCTTGTCCTGAAGCAGAGCAGGGATGATGGTGTTGAAGGCAGAGCTAAGTCCACAAACAGGATCCTGGCGTAGGATGCTGGGGAGTCCAGAAGCTGTTGGGTGAAGTGGAGGGCCATGCTAACTGCGTCGTCCACAGACCTGTTGGATCTGTAGGTAAACTGAAGGGGGTCCAGGAGAGGGTCTTAGTGTTTTTCATATCTGGTCTTAAAATTCAGATCTCACCGCAGGATACAGTTCTTATAATTAAGATTATTAAGCATGAACTTAGGAAGGCACCACTCATACTCGTCTGTGTTAAGCAACTTTATTCTGTAAACAAAAACATAACACTCTAATAAGGGAACTCTTATGCTAGGAATGTCACAGGACTCCTGGAGATGTCCTCCTCATTGATCCGTACATTTAACCCTCAATGATCACGTTTTTTTAAACTGGGTAACAGAACAATCGGTTAATTCCTCAGAGTAACGCGAGCATGCACGAAAACCTTTATTATGAATTTCTCACGCTATATATTAATTGTTTATGGTTGCACTTTATTTTGCCCATTCAGTGTTAGCCGCTGCGGTCGTGACGGGATTTTCTTTGTATTCTTCTTGTTCTATTCCCTTCATGTTCTATTTTTCCAAATTCCCAAAATTACATTGCAAACGATTTCCCTTTTTTTACCAGGTAATAGCCACTGAGCTATTACGAAGGCTTATAATGTGGAAATTTACAGCAGCCAATTACTCTGAGTACTTTTTTATTCTAAATATGAAGTGAAAAACCTGCCGAATCCAGAGAAAAATCCACATGACCAGAGGGAGTGAGAGAACATGCAAACACCAAACATACAGGCGTGAGGGTCGAGATCGAACCCACGACCTCGTGTATACCAGGCAAGGGAGTTAACATCTCACCACCACGGTGAGATTTAATCTCAATTGTGATTGCACACAGCAGCTACAATCATCGCCTGCTACTGGCAGACTCCTGCACCAATTTACGCTTGCAGATGAGACTCATTCTGGTCTCTCCAGTTCTCGGCAGGTTAAACCTTGACCTTGAATACCTATTCACGTACCCACCTGGTGACAATCAGAAATACATCAAGGTGGTTACCGAGGCACAGTTTATGAGGAGGGTTCCAACAATATTTTAGGCAGGGGAGAGGTGAAGTTGCCTGAATAGTTCCAGATATTGTGGGTAAAGAGGCTACGAGAGTAGCCACCAACCTAGATTTACGTGGACACCCACAAGTGCACAGACCCATAGAACAGAACGAGTCTCTAAGATCCACTCAGAGGAACCCGTAGACTTGTGGAGAAACTTTGACGAACAATGCAGTGGAGCAGCAGCGCATGCTGGGAGCAAGGAGTTATTGGAGTGGAAAAAGCGGGCAAGTGGAAAGGGTGGTTGGCTTCATTCAGATCGCTCGCTGTGTGGCTCAGAGAGACGCTGGACCAGGACCTCTCTCTTAAAGCGATGGTAAAGAAGGAAGTAAAATACTTAGAATATTTGCATTGTCGTTATTGGCATGATGAGACACTGCCTGGAATGTGAACCTGCATCCTATGTGCACAAACACAATGCACACGGATACTGTACTCACCTGTTGGGATTTAGCTTTAATGAACAGAATATATCAAATGAATCTACTCTTTAAAAAAAAAACCGCATGCAAAGAAAAAACACACTTAAATAAAGAATTTGTTATTGTTGATATTAACATAAATCAAAAGGCTCAGCTGCGAAAGCTCATTCGTGAGATGAGTACCAAAAGATAGACTCATCCTTCCACAGCTCAGTGCACAAGTCGGTGTCTATGGTAAGACAGAGCAATGGATTGCGTGCCACAGTGGAGAGATGTTATCTCCCTCACCTGGTGTACAGGAGGATCTGGGTTTTATCTGATGCTGGCTGTATATTTGGAGTTTGCATCTCTCTCCGCGTGGTCGCATGGAGTTTTCTCCGGTTCCTCCGGTTTTTCCCTTCACATTTATAATCAACATCACAAGTTTAGAGTACTTGGCTGCAATCCATTTACACCTGATAAGCCACTTCATTGCGCAATCATTTGTGCCAGGTAACTTCTGAAAAAGAGCTCAGTGGGCTTTACCTGGTAAAATAAATTGTAGTTGTAGATATTATGTGA